TGCTGGAAGCATCAGTGTGCCTCCACTGTGCATGGGTGCTGGGAACTTCCTCCTCCCTCTGCTTTCTGTTTGCTCCCATGACCTGGTTGGTGTTTGTTGAAACTGTGAGTGATGCATGGTGGGGATCTCCAAGCTTTCAGTTTCTGCAAAACTGTCATCTGAAACAGGGTTTGCCAAGCATCTACAGCATTTTTGGACACACTGAGTGAGTTGGTGAGGGGACTTTTCAAAGGCTGGCCTTGTGTCAACTGAATAACTTTGATTTTTGTCTGGTACTCTCAACTCTCATTCAGGATTTCCAAATGAGAATGTAAATAGGCGGAGTCTGAGGATAATTCTCACATCTCTGAATGCAACCTGCCATACACGCACTAAGCTCTGTAAAGCATCCTCCCGCCCCACAACTTTGGCTCCTACGTGGATCCTACATGAGCTTACTAGCCCTCCTTACTGGAGATGAAACCTATTAAAAAAATAAGCAGATGAGATGAAAAGATATTTTGAGAATATCCAAAATATTTTGAACATGCCATCAACATAAAAAGGTGTTATCGAGACATCTTACACTCCTTATTTAGTGACCACTATGTATCTTATATAACACATCCCATGGAGGACCAGTCATATCTCAGGACTCATCTGTGTCTCCTGGTTAGTCACTATCACTTTGGATGATTCGGTTTGGGGCACCATTTTTAGCCCTTGTTGTCCACAGTTGAGTGACAGCTAATATACTCAAAAAGAAAAGAAAAAGGATGAAAGAAAAAAACATTTAAGAGTTAACAGTAGATCGCAGGGTCTGCCCATCTTGACCCAGTCCTGTTGGTCATTTCCATGGATAATTCTGGGGGGGCCATGGCTGGGAATGCCTGTTCTCTCAGCTTGGTTTCATCAAGTTCAAACGGGAATCACTGGACAGACCTCAAGGGGGGAAGAGGGAATGAGATACAAAGATGCCTCTGCAAAAGATGTGCCACAGAGCACAGCAAGCCTCCATGCAGCCAGTGTTGCCACCGTCACTGTCACCGTAAGTGATGATGAATTCATTAATTCAGAGGACAAGACTTCAAGAGAGGATAGGCATAAAAACAGGTTAAGAGTCAAAGTTCAGGGTGTGATAGTGTCATGCCAGCACTACTGGGCTGAGCCAAGAGGATTTGTATGAGTTCAAGGCTATCCTTAGCCACATAGAGAGTTCTAGGTGGGCTTAATTACAATATTAAGACCTGACTCCGACAAAACAAAACAATAAGGATTCAAATAGCTTTTCCCAGTCAGAACTCAATAAGGCAGATGAAAAAATGGTGGAAATCAATATGGAGAATGCAAACAATAGGCATATTCAGCCTTTGTAGGTTTTAAACACTTTGGTGTGGACTCCTACTGTTCCTTTGTATAACTTCCCAGGAGAGGGATTAACCTGTATCTGGATTAAAGATCACTGTTGTTCAGAAGTGTGAAGCATCAAACCAAACAGGGCAGGCTTAAGCTTTGAAAGGAGCTAGCTCACAGTGAGGTACAGGAGGAACCCTGGAGCTGCTCAGCACTTGTCAAACACAGCTGGAGTCTTTCTCACACCCGCCTCCCTAAGCCAGTAACTGAGCTGTTGCTGTCTAGAGGAGAGTGAGGGTCACTGGAGATGTGTGCTCCGGCTGCTCAGTGACAGGAGAATGGCCGCTCTGACAGCCTCAGGAGCAGGTGACTGGCACTTGAGAAGACTGGACTGATGAGAGTGACTAAGCTGTGAGGGTGGGGCCTCATGAATGGAATCAGTGTCCTCAGAAGGAGGCTCCAGGGAGCGCCCCTCCACCCTGTGAGGACACACAGAAGGCCGTCTGTGTGACACTGTGTGTTGCTTAGGCTTTCTGGATGCCTTGATCTTGGAATTCCCAGCCCAAGAACCAGGAGAGGTACACTTGGTTGTTAATAAGTAAGTCTGAGGTATTTGGTTGAGTAGCTCCAGCAGACCGAGACGGCATATCAGATGAAAGCAAAGACCTTATTTTCCAGCATTCTCCAAAGTTGCTTTAATGCCCTCTCATTAAAACCCTTTCCTTTAATGAGCATGAACGTCAAAAGCAGGTACTAGGAGAAGGCTGGGGAGAAGGCTCAGTGGGGAAAATGCCTGTCACATAAGCATGAGGACCTGACTTTGGATTCCTCAGCACCATGTAAAGACCTGTGCTGGAAGCCACCCATAAACTGAGAAGACAGAGACAGAAAGACCCCTAGAGCTTGCTGGCCAGCCAGTCCAGCTGATTGGCAAGCTTCAGGTTCAGTGAAAGGACTTGTCTCAGAAAAGGTGGCGGTAAAAGTGCTATGGCAAACCTGGGGACCTTAGTTTGACCCCTGGAATACACACAGTGGCCTTCCTGAAAGTTGTCCTCTGATCCCAACATGTGCACATACACAAAAATAAAATAAAAAACAGTGGAGGAGCCGGGCGTTGGTGGCGCACGCCTTTAATCCCAGCACTCGGGAGGCAGAGGCAGGCGGATCTCTGTGAGTTCCAGACCAGCCTGGTCTACAGAGCGAGTTCCAGGACAGCCTCCAAAGCCACAGAGAAACCCTGTCTCGAAAAACCAAAAAAAAAAAAAAAAAAAAAAAAAGAGAAAACCACAGTGGAGGATACCTGACATTGATTTCCTGGCTTCTGTTACAAACCCCCACCACACACACACACATACACACACACACACACACACACACACACACACACCATACATACACACACATACACACAACACACACATACATCATACACACACACCACACATGCACACACCATACACACATACACACTCACCATACACATACACCACACACACACCATACACACACACATACACACATACTATATGCAAACACCACACACACATACACACACACAAACACATACATATACATATAAATACACACACATACACACACACACACACACACACACACAGAGTCCTGATGACATAATTAAGCAATGGAGCACCTTTCCCGCAGGTACAAACAGTATTTAATTCCTGGCATGGCTAAATAAATAAATGAATAAATGAAGCAAGCAAGTAAGCACTGGCACTCCTGTGGGTGTCAAAATATTTGGTTGACAGTTGCACAATTGTGTCTGGTTTATTCATGTAGTCCTTATCAGTATTGAAGTAATTCTGTAGTGATGTCTACCCATCTTGGGGTGTTATTTCCTGAAGGGGATTTTAATATGTTCACTACCTTGAGTACATACAAGAAGGTAGGGCCTACCTTTAAACCCTGTAGCTGTCACTGACCAGGTTGTCCTGACACAAGGCACCCTAGGCTGTTTCCTAACCGGCTTCATCCTCTTTCTTTCAGCATCCTCCTGTCTCAGAAGGATGTACTTTAAGATGACTTCAGTGCCTTGGATGCCTCGAAATGCTTCCTGTTGCTCTGTCAGCTCACTTGGCCATTCTGCTAGGTCTTCCAGAGAGGCAGTAAGGTGGCAGATAAAAAGAATTCAGGTCAGGTTATGAAAGGCAGGTCTAATGTTTTCCACGCCTCCCCTCCCTGCTGCCTCCCACACAGGCCATCTCAGACTCTCCAATGCTGAATGGGTGGCTGTGAAGGACCGCCTAGGGTTTGGGAAGGGGGCTGAGTAATTACTGAAGGTGAGAGACAGTGAATGCCTGGGAAATTGTGGGCAGGTGGGTGGGTGCGCTCCAGGGTGCCCTCAGATCTCACTGCCTAACCTACAGCTTCTCTCTGTCTGGCTGGGTCTAACATCAACTTCCCAGATTGATTTTGGGCTGCAGAAAGCCCTCAGAGCTAGAGGGTGCCTTTATAGTAGGCATCTGAAGCACTTGAAACATTATGCTCCTACTGAATTCACTCAGAATCATTCAGTCCCTTTATAACTGGACTCAGTGGCCATGGGCCTCAGAGTTCTCAACCCTGTCTCTCCAGGTTTCTTTGCTATTGAACAGAGCTCTGATTTTCTCATCTTGAATCTGAGCTGAAGGTTATCTTTTGCTAAGGTTTGAGTCTTCCTGGAAGGGCAAAGCCTGTCCCTGACTCATCTCTCTTTTCTTTAAGGTGTGTAGTTTTACTTATTTTTGCTGAAGTTGGCAAAGAGTTCCTGAGATTCAACATCTCTCTCTAACTCCCCACCACTTCACTTTTATTTTTTTCCATTTCCTTATTTTAGTGTGTATGCTTGCGTACCCATGTCATCTGGTTCGTTTAAGTCAGATCACAACTTACAGGAGTCTCTCCTTCCCCAGGTGTAGATCATTATTCCTTGACATTTGTTTTTAGAATTACTCTAGTGTTCTTGGCTGGGCTGGAAGACAAGTTGGTTCATTTCTTTAAAAGAGTGAACAAACGGAGCCGGTGCTCTTCTTGACTACTGAAGTGCGGGAAACCTTGACATCCACAGAGGCAGCAAGCCAGCCTCTGTGAATGAGCACTGTGACCCCGCTGGGGTACAGGCAGCTCCGGGATTCGGTGCTGGAACTGGGTCCCCTTGCTTGATAGAAGCAGTTTCAGTGTCTGGTCAGAGTTAAGCCAGGGAGTCCAGGCTCGTCCAGCCAGGATCATGGACAGGGAGGGGAGCAGGAGCCTGCCTGGAATGGAGACGGGAAGACCGCTAGGGATTGGGATGCAGAATTGGGGGTGGGGGGCAGGGCTGGTCGGGTTGGCCTGGGGCTGGAAGTAGGGTTCAAGGGGAGGGAAGGTGACCAGCTGGAGGTGGACTGAAAGGTGGAATATAGGGAGGTGAAGACCCGCTGGAGATGTGAAGAAGTGAGGGGACTGGCCGAATGAGGGGGGTTCACAGAACTGCGACTTAAGGTGACCCGAGGATTGGTCCAGGACGCAGATGGGTGGGGATGGAGCTGGAGGACAGCCGACTTTCAGGGCGCCACCTCGGAGCGGCAAGGAGCCGAGGAGTGGGGCGGGTCCCGAGGAGGGGCGGAGACCAGGGGGGGCGGGCCGCGGGCGGGTCTCGGGCAGGCGGGAAGTGGGTGGGGACCCGCGGACTCCCGGGACGTCGGCTGAGCTGCGCGCGCTCGTGTCGGCGCCGCGGCGAGATGAGCGGGGCAGAGTCGGCGGGCACTGCCCGGGGGCTGCGCGTAGACGGGCTGCCACCGCTACCCAAAAGCCTGAGCGGGCTGCTGCACTCGGCGGCGGGGGGCGGCTCGGCGGGCGGCTGGCGGCACCTGGAGCGGCTGTACGCACAGAAGTCGCGCATCCAGGACGAACTGAGCCGAGGGGGCGCGGGCGGCGGCGGGGCGCGGGCTGCGGGGACGCGGACCAAGCCCCCCAACCTGGACGCCGCGCTGGCGCTGTTGCGCAAGGAAATGGTAAGGACCAGGCGCCGTGGGTTCCGTCGGGGGACAGTCCTCTTTGGTCCCTGGAAGCCCGTGCTTCCCTCTCGGACTTCCCGCAGCTGGACATCCACACGCAGGGGAGCCTTAGATTCTGGGGCTTTCCTGGGCCAGACCAGGGCGCGGCGTGGCCTGCCTGCCGGGTCCCAAGAGGAACAGGCTTCCTGCGAGCCTGCGGGTCGGTGTGGACAACAGATGGATGGCCGGGCCCCTCCCCGGCTGCTCGCCAGGAATCCTATTACCGGCACGGAAGCCGTGCTCCGGCCGGGTGAAGTCTTTACGTCTGGTTTCAAACAATGGGGTTTAGTTTTTCTCCGTCCTGAGAAGTGCAGTAGGTGTTCCTGGACTTGGACGCGCGATTCAGGGTGACGCCAGGGCAGGGATTTGGGCCCTCAGGGAGTCCTGTCCCAGCTTGCTTCCTGTGGCAGGACAGGTAGGGAGGGATAGAGACATCCACCCAAGACTCTGTCCTCTTTCCTTTTTCCTAGTTCAAGATCCACGGGGCCAGGTAAATGTTACAGAAATCTAATATAATAAAACTGTATTCTAAGTACAAATTTGCCAAAGAAAGTTAGAGGAGTTGACTCCTTTAATCATCTAGTGCATTTGACATATGGTTTAATTCGATTTCTGCCTTCTTAAAGGAGCATAATCTGCCCTGCAAACTGAGACTTAATGGAATCCACTATGCAGTCCTTTTTGGTTTTCCGAGGCAGGGTTTCTCTGTATAGCTTTGGCTGTCCTGGAACTCGCTCTGCCTCTACCTCCTGAATGCTGGGGTTAAAGGGTGCATGCACCACTGCCGCTGGCCACTATGCAGTCTTAACGCCTTTTCATCATGGGAGTGATGTCTAATTCTCTCTGAAAAGATTTCCCGAATTTCTTTTCTTTCATCCTTTTTTTCCGTAAGGGTTTCTCTGTGTACCTTTGGAACACATCTTGGAACTCGCTCTGTAGACCAGGCTGGCCTCGAACTCACAGAGATCTGCCTGCCTCTGCCTCCCAAGTGCTACTAAAGGCATGCGACACCTGGCTAGTTTACCTGGTTTCTTATAGAGCATTCCAAATTCCAAAGTACTCGCTTTTCAGGATAACCACTATCCTGAGCCTAGCACATCCGGCAAATTGCTTTTGATTAAATACAACCATACCTAGTGTGTTTACAACCTGAATTTGGACATAACATAAACCTCTGGATGAAATAAAAAACCTGGTTCCCAGGTATTTGAGATCTTTTTCTTGAATAAGATGCAGGGTACAGGGTGACTTCTGGCTGTGAAGCTCTGCTTTATAAACATGCTAGGGAAGCTTGCTGTTTTCCCCAAGGGATTTCCCAGGTCCTTCCTGGAGTGTCTATGGTACTGAACCTTGTAATTATGCCTTAGGCGGTAGCTTCCTAGTTCAACTATAGGAACTAAGGGAAATGAGCAGCTGTCAGTCTGCCTGATAACAGTGTTAAAGGTAGGGCTTGGCTACAGGCCCTGACAGGCCCTTCCAGAAAGCCATCACAAGGATTTTCAGTCTGTCTTCTAGGTCAAGAGACTTACTGACCTGGGGGAACAGTGAGGTTTCTGTGACAATTCATGTCTTGCTTAAGAAGAATGGGCTGTCATTCCAGAGCCTTCTGCAGAATGTCTGTGTTGATCTACTTAATTTGAAGGCCTGAGGTCAAATCCGTGATGGGGATATAATTCCATGTCAGTACAGAATGTGACAAATGCCTGAGGGAAAAGCCCTGTTTGAGCATAGAAAGAGGGAGTGTCCCCCGGATTGAGTGAGGGCTTCTCTATGGGACTGCAGAGTGGGAGGTGGGAAGATCCCAAGTGACAGACAGGAAGGGAACCCTGAGATAGCAGAGTAGAGCAGTGAGCCTCCAGCTTGACTGACAGGAGTTTGAACCAGAGATGATAAGGAGAGTGGCCGTGTGGCTGTGGGAAGCCTGGGTCACAGACAGGTCATCAGCAGGAGTAGAAACTCTGAAGTGTGCAACAGGTACAGGAAGCTGCTAGAAAATGCCTTAGGCACACCTGGGAGAAATGGGTATGGTGGAAGCCAGTTTATTGGCAACAAAACACCCAGAAGTCACATGAATTGCTAATGGGTTCTCAGAGCTGATAAGGAAAACGTGAATGGAAGGTGACTCAAGGTTTTTGTTTGTTTGTTTACTAATGGTAAGTGTTTTGAAACATAACAAAGACCACAGTCCTTGAGTTTGAGACCTGCCTGGCCTACAAGAGCTAGTTCCAGGATAGCCTCCAAAGCCACAGAGAAACCCTGTCTCGAAAAACCAAAAAAATAAAACAACAACAACAAAAAAACAAAACAAACAAACAAACAAAAGCCCCATAGTCCTAAAACTGGGACTGTTGCTCATTGGCAGAGCACCTCCCTAGCCTAAATGAGGCCTGTATTAATTACTTATTGCAGCTCCCTGTTCCAGGATACAGTCCATTATGGTGAGGAATCTAGGGGCATGAGGCAGCTGGTGGCATTCTGTCTGCAGTCAGGATTCAAAGAGATGACTACTGGTTCTCTGCTTGTTCTTTTTCTTCAGCCTGAGATCCAAGGCCATGGCAAGATACTAGCCATGGGTAGGGTGGGCCTTCCCAATTAATCAATTAACCTCAATTAATCGAATCTAGATATTCCCTTAGAAATTCCCAGGCGTTTTATCTCCTAGGTGGTTCAAGATCCTGTTGACAGTCAGTGTTAATCATTCCAAGGGCCCTGTGTTCAGGTTCAACACCGAGCAAATCTCCCCACATTACAGTCTAGCACAGAGAGAGATGATCACTGCTAATGGCTTGAGATGAAATATTCTGGTTGTATGTATACCCTGATGTGGTAGGGTGCACCTGTGATCTCACCAGTAGGGAAGCTGAAGGAGGATTATAAGTGAGGGCATTCTAGGCTATACAATAAGACCCTATCTTAAAAAAACAAACAAAAGACAAGTGCTTTCTATACATTGTCTAAATCCTTGTGTTTTAGTTTTATCTATATCGCTGGGATAAACTACCCTCAAAAGGCAATTTAAAGGAGAATTTATTCAGATTTGCAATTCCAGATTATATATCATTTTGGGATGTCAAAGCCATAAGAACTTGAAGCAAGCCGGGTGGTGGTGGCACACGCCTTTAATCCCAGCACTCGGGAGGCAGAGGGAGGCGGATCTCTGTGAGTTCAAGGCCGGGCTGGACCGACAGCCTCCAAAACAATACAGAGAAACCCTGTCTCGTAAAACAAACAAACAAACAAAAAAAAACAAAAAAACCAACCAACCAAACAAACAAACAAACAAAAAAAAAGAACTTGACTTGAAGCAATTAGGTTGATCCATAGTTCCGAGCAAGAAAACCAATGTATGCGTGCTTGTTAGTGTTCAGTCTCCCTCCCTCCTCTACATATACAGCTCAGGATCCTCTGCTTAGGGAACAGTATCTGCCCACAGTGGGTTGGGTGGTTATGTGTTAATTCCCACATTAACTAACATTCAAGACAATTCTCCACAGATATTCTATCAGATCAACCCAATCTAGACAGTGTTTGAGACTTTCTTCTTAGGGGTTCTAGGTTGTGTCATGTTGATAATTAGGACTAACCATCACACCTTGTAAGTTCTTCATGTGGGAGGCACTCTGTGTATTTTATATTATGTATCCTCTTCCTCTTTCTTTTTTGAGACAGGGTCTCACTATATAGCTCTTGGCTGGCCTGGAACTCACAGAAATCCATCTGCCTCTGCCTTCTGAGTGCTGGGATTAAAGACATTCACCACTATTCCCAGCTTATTTCCTTTAAAAAAATCTTTTATGTTTATTTTTACTGGTTTTAATTAAATGCATGAATGTATGTATGTATGGGAGTATGTGCACATGAGTAGTACAAGTGCTCTTGGAGGCCAGAAGGGACTGGATCTACAGGTGGCAGTGAGCCATTCTGACCCAGTGCTGGGAACCAAATTTAGGCCCCCTGTCAGAGCAGTGTGAGCTGTTGGTCTCTGAGCCATCTCTCCAGATCCTAATTATATTTTCAAAGATCAGCTGCTCAGAGTTTAATCCTCGTGAGCTCTCAACCTTCTTTGGGTCTTTTGGGCTCCACAGCCCTGTTTGGCCATTGCACCGTATGATCTGTACACACATGCACATGAAGCAGGCATACCTGGGTCACAGTGTACTCTGCAGCTCCATTTTGGAGGGTGCATTCTGCAAACACGTCTCTGTCACTATGCGTTGTTGGGTCTTCGGTGAATGCAGAGGACGTACAGTGTGGTTGTGCTGTGTCATTTTGGACCTCGTTAATGGGTGGAAAGTATTGTGGGTGTTAGAGGGCGTGGGGGCCTGGGGGGATGTTCATGGCATCCCATCAGTAGAGGAGGATGCTAAACATTTCAGAAGCAGAATGGATGCTGGAAGAGAGCTGCTTGGAGCTGAGGGTGCAGGTGTCACTTCAAAGGAGTGACACTAATGGTAAGGGTCAGGGGAGCTGTTACACAGCCTGGAGAAGGCAGGAGCCTCTTGTGGGCAGAGGCTCAGTCCCATGATTGGTCAACAATATACTCTCCCCAGGGTTGTGGCTTCAATTGTTACTTGATGTTCTAGAAGCCCCATGTCTGTGAAATTTTGTCATTCTGAGTCCCTGTAGCCTCCAGGAAAGAGTCCACTTTGAAAGATCTAAAGATCACACCAGTGCTAACTGTCTGTAAAAGCAATCATTTTAAAAAATCCTTTTATTTATTGAATTTTTGTGGTTGTTTTGTTTTTTGATAAGGTATTATTGTGTAGCCCTGCCTGGGTTAGAACTCTCTTTTAATGGTACTTATTTATTTATATTATTAAATTTTTGAGATGGGATCTCAATTAGCCCAGGTTCACTTTGAACTATGCAGCTAAGGCTGACCTTTTTTCTCTTTCTTTCCTTCCTTCCTTCCTTCCTTCCTTCCTTCCTTCCTTCCTTCCTTCCTTCCTTCCTTCCTT